GGTGGTGGAGGACGGGGAGGACGATGAGCAAGCTTGGGGTTACGGACTCTGGCCGGAAAAGGAATTGGGTGGAAGGGCGAAAAGGGAAGGTTGATCAGGACTCGTTTTTGAAGACTGCCCGCGAGATAAACGAGCATCAACAGCACAACAACGCCAAATTCGGTCTCACGACCCCGCGCTCCCATTGGCCAGTCTTCGCCGAATCCGGCCATCCCCGAACGCAGGGTGACTAAGATCAGATTTGAGACATTCCAAATCGAGATCCCCCTTTCCCATGGACCAGCCCCGTGACCCCTCCCCCATCAGGCAACCCACGATATAAATCTGGTCCCCGTCCGCAGCTGCAACACGCGCACACCCCAGAATGAACGAGAAGGGACACCCACACGCAGACTATTGACAGTGTCAATCCAATCAATTATACTTATTGTCGGTGCTTCTCTCCAGGCAAGGCTGGGCAAGCCCATCCAACTTCTTCCTCCCAGAGATGGATTCCGTCAAATGTCATGATCGGTTGACTTCCCAAGCGGCCCGCTGCCCACCCTCCTTCCTCATTCCATGAGCGCCATGTCAGTTGAGGCGAAACGCAAACCCGCCTATTCACCAAACACGGTCAGAACTTACCTACAATAATTAAATGCACCCGTCATCTCCCACCAGCCGCCACACACTCCCACTCCATGAGTCCATGATCAGCGACGATCGCCCTTTGACAGAGTCCGCGAGTATAGTACATACGACTTCCCAGTGCCTCCTCGACAGATAAGGACAAACGGAGGGAGGCATCCCGTCAGGAAGCCTGAACATTCGGAATCAGAATCAGACAGCCGTCAGCGGGCCGCTGGTACACAGTTTGGCTCAGAGGGTCCGAATGGCTTCATGTCCGTCCACAACGTGGTGAGAAGCACTCTTTTTCTCTCTCTACTGCGTCCTGTGCACAGCAGAGAAGCACTTCCCTTACCTATACAGCCCGACCGGAGGGACTTGGACCTTGGAGCGATCGCGACACGGTCCACGGAGGGAAGGTGCGTCCCAGATGTCTACTAAATTGATCGAGCGTCGACGGGGCGTTTCGGAGAGTAGAAGAGGCGTAGGAGGGGGCTTAGAAGAGCCTCTGAGAAGGGCATGTCATTCGAAATTCCATCATCTACTGACACCCTATTCTGACGAGCGCTAATCAGCGGCAAACGATCGATCACGCTTCTTTCGAGAGCGCTGGGCTGATTTGTCCTGAAGAGTCAGAAGATGTACCCAAGGCAGTGCTCTCCAGGCTTGGGACCATCTAATTATTGCTGAGCGCTTGATGGCTATTATTGCGCAGCGGTTAATTCATTTCTCTAGCTCGAAGTTTTAGATATCCCGGCGAGTCGGCCTTTGCAGGTTTGGAAATGCCTTATTCCGGAGTATTTCGGGCATTGGATGGTCATCTTGGGGAGGACCGAGCTCTCTGAAGCTGCGATCAATGGAACTTGTGCGCCTTATACTCAGCGTCGCCGGTCTTTTCATCCCCAATCGTTCACACAAGCGCCGTCAAACGCGATGTAGTTTCCGGAATTCCTTTCCTTCCAACATGTACATTAACGGGCCTCCATCTGCGCCACCCATCGTTGCCCATCTCCATCCCACCTCGCCGCTGCCAATCAGCCGCTGTCATCTCCTTCTCGTAACTGTCTGTCATCCCCATCGCCGTATCCTATCACTCACTCACCAGGTCCACTAGCCAGCCCAGGAAAGGAAGCCTTCCCTCCCGAGCACGACCCTGCAGGCATGGGTTCCCCGGAATCCTGACTTGGGAGATTTCCCTCTAGTAGCGTCGTGTGTCGTAAGGGAGCTCGAACCTGAATTTGATCGCGTAGCTTTGCTTCGGTGGGCAGGCTGGAAAGAAGGCGGCCGGCGCGGACAGACAATGGCGATTCTTCGGCGTCAGTGACTCGTATTGAAAACAAGGCTGTAATTGTTTTGTTTTCAAATGAAAGTTCATCGTCCTTTCTCTCCTTCAGCGAGCACCATTGAGTTCAACAGCCTGTTTCTTCCGTAGATGTCGGCCGGCGTCTCCATCTATCTCCACTGATTATCATCTCTCGCTTGCTCGCGATCGGCTAGATGACAGGCGGCGCAGACAAGAAAACGGAAAGATTTCCGGTTACGTTCTTCCCTCTCCTCATCATCAGATACGTAATAATCATCATCGTTCAATGTGCACCGCTTGTTCTCGCTCCTCCCAACAAGGCTCAAGGGTCCACAATCGAATCCAACCATCAAAATCTCGCCATCTATCTGGGTGCCGCTAATACCTGCCGACCTTCTCCTCATGATCATGATTCATAAGGGATCGGTCGCTCACTATCTGAATTCAATCCATCTTGACATACGCGCAGTAAATACATAAAACACGGAGGTCAGAGTGGGCTTCCATGTTCCCGTTGTCTAATTTTACCACAAGAAGCCACTTGAAAACATAAGAGGCGCCGGGCACCTCATGCTTCCAAACTTTCAAAGGCGTCAATTTTACCCTTTTATAGTCATTCGCCTTGCCTAGACCCATGGCGTGATGTGAGGAAGCTCCCTTATTCGGACTTGGTAATTTCTTCCTTTTTCTCGCCGAGGCCGGGGCGCGCATGATGGATGGACGGTCCCGTTTCCATGCATCGCGTACGTCGTGCGTAGCGACGCGACGCGCTAAATTCATAGGCGCTACCGACGTCAGTCCGTAGGCGATCGCATTCCAGAAAATCGACCGGACATGCGTGGAAATCATCCATGACTTGAACAGGCGTCATCTTCGCATATGATTACAAGAACGGGACCCGAGTGGTAGACGGAAAGCCTGGAAGCGCCCGTCGTTCAATCTATACACGTTATCTCGGCCCCATTGTGAACGAATCCTCGATAGTCACAAATTGCTCTACGGTCCTCCGCCGACTCCTGACTATCGACAATCGAGCATTGACATGAGGCAGGTCTCATGAGAGGTGCGCCTGCCACCAACTCGACCCATTATGGCACGGCACGGCACAGACATCCTAGCGCTGTCGAACAAGGAAATATATCCTATAATATCGATCATACGGTGCCCCAGACTCTCCAGTACCCCAGTGCCAGTAATTCAGTAGTACCCCGGTCTAAACGTCGACGTTGGACGTTTGACAGGAGGGGTTATTTTCGAACGTCGCGGCTCGGAGGACACAATGTCAGTACGGTCCGATCGAATATCTATAGTCCCAGTTGGTCCCATCCCCAGCGGAAAGATATTCTGCAGAGTCCGTGTCAGCGGCAAGATGCAGGGGGTCATCTGGGATCCTGACAGGACCTCCTTCGGGCTTGTCAAGGTGCATTTGTCAAGGACTTCTGATCTCGACTGACAAGAGTCCAGAGACAAGGTCATTCCGTGCCTTTCCGCCTTCTATTTCATGCTCCAGCACCTCGCTGGAAAGGCGAATAGCTCTTCACTGTGTTTATTTGTGACTCGGAAGATCTTACGGGTCCTAGATGGCCTCGATCGGTCTGTGCGCCACATTACCGCAGACAGCATGCAACATGTCCACTCGGACTTCACGCAGCCTCAAAAACATACAACACTAGCACTACCCTCGAAGAACTTCACATCCGCTGTCTATTAATTTCCGGATTCCAATCGTGCCCTTATGAGGGTACGGCGCAGTCTCCTGCCATTCTCTGGGTGCAGATCACGTCTAGTACCTCCGAGCACCAGGTATCCCGAGTACTCCATGATGCCCTTCCCCACTGTCTAATTTGTAATCTGACGAGTCTGGGGTTTTGCGTGTTGCGTACTAATGCCGGCCAACCGACTCCAACATGACTGCGCAGGAAGACCGCTCAATTGAGGTATCTCTTACCAAATGCATCCACTGACGCACCATCTTCTCTCGCTCGGTCCCGTGAAAGTCGCTGATTATATTTAGCAACCAGTCTTGAAGGAAGCCGTGGCGAACGGGTGATACATGTATGCTGACCAAAAGAGGACGTTATCAACTACCATCCCCAATCTTCCAAAAACGAATCCTTCGAACAAATGACACAAGAAATAAAGCCATAGAAAATTATCATATTACAAACATATTTAACAGAACTAGATGTGTTTCGACGTCCTATCCATGGGACATAATGGTCATAGTCGAAGCCAGAATCGAAGCGAATGAGCAAAATCTTGAGGTCTTGAGTTGTCGAGGTTTTCACATTTTTATCGGGTTTTCTTTATCTTTTCAACACCACCGCCAGCGCCAACGACGAAGAACATGGAACAGGATACCAACGACCAACAAATCTCGCCAGTCCGCACGCAGAATGAGGCAATAAGAAGACTAGACCCAAGGATATGTAGACGCCGGCAATCCTTATCAGGAGATCGATTATTGACGCGTCATACACACCCTCGAAGAACTAGGTCCATGATGCCAGACTCGACGCACATACCAGAAAAGATGGCGCCTCTGCGCTCTTTTAGATCCCATTCCACATCCTCCTCATATTTTCTTTTCATTTTGACATTCGAATCGCATATATTTTTGTTTTTCATCTGTTAGCGCGGCCCGCTCCTCGTATTCCATTCGCATCGTTGTCGCCGCCGGACCGCGAAGCGCCACAGGGTTCGTACGGGGCAGTACAGGCGCGAGCGAGATCTTCTCATCTTCGTCTTTCGCTGTGAGAGCGCCATGGCCGATAGCTCCGAAGTGGGGCGAAGGCGAACGTCGATGTCTTCATCTTCATCTTCATACTCCAGGTAAGATCGGCAGCAGTCGTCGTCGGCCGCAGGAAGTCCACATTCCCCAAGAAATCGGTCGTGGTAGAGATTATGTCGATGGAGCTCTGATCAGAGTCAGCGCCTGCGCTACTCGATCCTCCAGGTCCAGGGGGTTGTTCAGGGTTAATCGATGGACTTCTTGCAACGTTTGAAGGATTCTGTCGGACGAATCGATCCTATGTTTCGAAAGCCAGGCAGCTGGTAAAGCGCCGAAAAGATATTCAGCAGCCTCTTGATCTGGGAGGAGAAATACACATAAGTCAACTGGAATCGTAGAGGAACCACGTACCACTCGGCTCCACCGACCCTAGTTCGTTCGTGCCCTCGAGCCTGCTCAAGTGCACGTCCTCGCAACTCGTATCGCGACACACTCCACCCCCGGGCACTTCGTAGCGACAAAGTCGTTTAAGTGGGTCAAGCCTCCTACTCATCAGAGCAAGCCTGAGTGGTCTCAAATCAGGAGTAAACGAAGAAGCCAGAGAAAAAGAATGAGAGGAAGACGAAGTAGAAGTTTTAGGAGTTACAGTAGGAGAATCGGAAGCCGACACAGGGAACGAATACATGTGAGGATCAGAGGAGAGAGAAAACAGAGGGGAACCATCTAACGAGATAGTCGGTAGAGGTTGACCACGGAGCAGCGGGTAAGACTCAAACGGAGAACAATAATCCGAAAATGATGATTCTTCTTGATCATTGCTGTCGCCACTGGGTGTCTGCTGTTGCTGAGGCAAGCTGTCCAAGAGCTTTTTTGCGTCTTGCTTTAGGTGGGCTGATCTCGTCATCGGTGCCGACTGAAATGAAATAAAGCGAAAGGTACGAAAATATAAGTTAGTAATTAGATATCAGGCAGACTTGCCATGACGAAGGAAACGGACGAACTCGTGAGACGCACCTGTGCCGACGACGACGGGTCCATGTCGACGTCGACTAATCCTTCTGGCAGCTGTCCTTGTAAGAGTTGAAGTTGTTGTTGAAAGAGTTCGGTAGCAACCTTCTGTATAATGGTTAAACGAAACAGAGGCGGAAATAGCCCCAAAAAAGAAAAGAAAAGATTCCAAAAGGAAGGCGCATGGTTTCGAGAGGAAACACGGGCAGGAGACCCACCATGGGCAGATGATTAGACGGATGCGTAGTCATGCAACGGACGAAGAAGGCCATGACGAGAACGCACGCAAAGTGACGTGAAGGACAGAAAAAAAACAGAAGAGATTGAGTCAGGATGGTCTGATGAAAAATGCCATACGGCATGAAAAAAAGAGAGCCTTGCCGCTTGTGATGGATCCAACGCTTCAACAACTTGATCTAAACAGGTCGCGAAAAGAACGACAGAAAGAAAGAGGGAATAGAGTGGCGCGTACGGACGAAAAAGGAAATTCGAAAGAGAGCCGGACAGTGTCAAAGGGTTAGTCACCCAAAGAAAGGAGAGAAGGTCATTCAAACAGGATGACAGCAACGCACACATGAACAAGGAGTATCGTAGTGCCAATGAGGAGTTTGACAGAGTGTGGGAGCGGATTCCAAGACGATAACGGAAGGGTGAGCAGAAGGTCGGCGGCATGTTGTTTGTGGTTGGAGACAGCCGTTGGTCGGACAAGTTGGGAAGGAGAAAGAAAAGACGGCCGAGTGAAAATTCGTCAGTAGGGAGCAGTCACCGAGAAAGCGATCAATCGAAATAGATGGGTCAGACTTGCCTTGCACTAGAGTCGTCTCGCTCGAAACTTCGTTTCTGTCACCACTAAGGTCTGAAATGAAGAACGCATGTAGCTTGCGCAAAAGGTCTGCTATAGAAAGAGACCTACCACTCGACGATTTACTGGCACTCCTAGATACGGGTATAGAAAGAGAGGAAACTTCACCGACAGCTGGAAGGTCATGTAGACGTCGTCAGGGCGATCGTCCAAGCGAATGGCAGAGGCTTACGAGGTGGTGTAGCCGACTCGGAGCTTCGACGATACGGCGGGTTGGGCACTTTGGTAGCATCACCGTTCTCCTCTGGAGGTTCCGACGTTGCCGCAGTCATGTCAACATCGACGTCCTCTACCTTCAATGGAACAGGCAGAGTAACTTCGGGGGGAGGTGGTGCCTGAGGTGCACTGTTTGCAGCTTTGGCTTTCGCCTGCGATGGAGCAAGAAGATCAGCAAAGAGGTCAACGATGAAACAACAAAATAGAAAGAACTCACAGCCGCTACCTTCTTCAGACGAGTCTCTTCTTCCTTTCGTGCGATCAGCTCACGCATCTTCCGGATTTCAATCTCCTTCTGCGCGAGTGCAGCCGGTGAATTTGTTCCAGAAGATACAGGCTTAACCGGTGCCGGAGAAGGGTATGTGCTTGTTTGATTACACTTATCCCACTGCTTCCATGCTGACTCGTCGACAGGTTGTTGTAGCGGCGCCAGCGACAGTTGCAGGTGTGGCATTTGTTGATCGCCACCATCGTCTTCACTGTCACTCAAGTCGATGACGCATCTGCGCGAGGAACCAACGTTGAAGAAGCCAGCGTTAGTGTTTAGCCGTTTAGTAATGCTAGTCTCGACCGCAGCATTAGCACGCTCGTTGCGCATGTTGACATCATTCTTTCGAGGCGTAGGGTCGAAATCCACGAAATCAGCAGCAACGGGACGCTTGACCCCCCTGCGTGGGCCAGCAGTGGGAGAGTTGCTCTCGGCTACGGAAATGGCATTCGATTGCGACAGCTGCCGCTGGAGCGGGACAGGCGCAATATTGCGTGCAACCGAGGGTGTCACGATTTCGTTGTCAGATGACGACATTTGAGAGAAAGTGGACATTGACGAGCCAGAGGTGGGAGGCGGCTCGCTGGAGGGAGGTGGAATATCTGCCGACGAATCTGGAGGATTCTCGAGTTCTTTGCTCCAGGGCGGTGAGACTGGCGAGTACCTGGGAGAGTATATATGTTGGGTCCGATGCCGCTCAAAGGAGGCGGTCGTTTGATCAACCTCCATGACACCACGCGGAGGGGCCGCTGGAGCTTCCGCGACTGCAACAGAACCGAGACTTTTGAGGAAGTCGTCAACGGTCTCTGTTGGTACTGCAGCTGCCAGCATGGCATTTTCAGTGTCAGATGAAGTCGACGGTTTCACCTTGCGAGAAGCTTGGGCGGCCTTACGAGCCATCAGCTCTTGCCGTCTTTGCTGTTCAATTACTAGTAACTCTGGTGTCGAAGGACTTTCCCGCGGGAGGGCGGCGCTGTTTGGAGGAGGGGAACCTGCCCTTGATATTCGGTCGGCAAAAGAAGACGGGCCCTCCGAAGTAGAACCCCGATTGTCAGGAGCAGGTGGTGGCGGCATAAGAGCGGATTGTCGCGAGGTATGAAGTGACTCCAGAGTGTATGGGACAAGGCCCGAAGGGTTGAAGCTCTCCGGCAGCGAGAGGTTGAGCTCAGAGAATACGTAGTATATCACTGCTTGACTGAGCCCGCATTCGATAAGATAGTCCGGAGGAACGCCCCATCCAAGAAGGTCCAAGATGATATCCTTGACAGTGTCGTACTCATCTTGAGTCACTGCGAGACTTGCATCAGCGCAACGAAACGTTGAGAAAAACTAATGCGCTTACGATGCAATCCCGGACGCACGCAATCAGGGCCTAACGCAGGTGCTCCTTGTGAAAGTTCGGCCATCGATATCGCAGGCCGGTTTTCTATGACATCCAGAGGTGATGGCGCAAGATCTGATGTCCTGTCGACAAGCGCCGGGTGGAGCTGCAACACCGGAGTGGTGGATTTACATGAAGCGGGTTTAATGGAGGGTAACGTGTCATCAATTGAGGGCTTTGGTTCGGGCCTTGGTTCGGGTGTCATTTGTAGAAAAGATGTCACAGACGTCGAACGTTTCGTTTGCGGGGTTGGAGATTTGGATATTGGAGGAGGTTCTTCTTCTTCGCTGATCTCGCCTTCCTCTCGAGCAATATCCGAAGTGTGGGGCGGAGTCGTCCTCTCCTTCGCGACTGGCGGAGGAGGGATTGATGCTGGGACATCAGCCATGGGGACGTCTGTCGGGGTTTCCTCCTGGCCGTAATCGAGCTGAAACATATCTGTCGGCGGTGGTGGCCGAGATGGGACAGGAGCTGGCTTGTCGACAACGGGTTTTCGACGCTTCGACTTAAGGGTCGATAGTGCCGCAGCTCGCAGAGTAGACACCGGGTCAGCCATGGCACTAGATGACGCTTCCATAATTCTAAGCGTATGAAAGGCGCACGCGGCGCAGAATACGCAAAGCTAGAGAAACTGGACTGGACGTTGGGCGGAGGGAGTTGAGAAGAAACCCGGAAGAGTTGTTTACCGCCAACCTCTTGCACAACTCTCCCACGCTATTCTCAATGAACGCACGGACCCTGATTATTACTCTTCCGGAATCCCACCACAGCACCTAAACCCTCCCAGTTGTTTATGGCATCCTCAAGGAAAAGTTAGCCAGATGCATTCTATAACCAAGCAGATCGACTCTTATCCGCTGCAACATCGCCGAAAAGTCTCCGACTAGAAGCATACTAAATAGCGTAGCTAAGGCTGGAGCTACCATCCTGAGCGGTTTTCATTCCTACAGATCTAAAAGTGCGTATGAGTATACCACTCTACGTGAAAATATGGCGCTATAGATGCATGTGCGGGGCTACTGTTAACCCCACAAAAAGCTCCTGAATATCACTCTTTCTGTGGTGTTCTACTTATCTTTGGACATTGAGGCCTGAGGGTGAATTGTTCACGCTATCCTAGTGGTGCTACTATATTCAAGACTCGGATCGTGTCCCTTCCTACCAGTCTGGCAAAGCTTATCTTGTCTCCCCTTTCCTTCGATTATTCAGACTAGAGTGCCAATTGCCCATGCAAAGCACGCGGACCAAGGAATTGGGATTGAAGCATAAAATGAATGACCTCGAGAAGTCCGCAGTTGTACTTATTTCGTTTGAGTTGTATGACTGAAGTATCATTATTCTCTGTTAGAACGCGTCTGGCCATTGAAATTGTATCTCACCTGTAATCTTAGGCTAATTTTCTCGCAAATGGGGCTGTCCTGTAACGATTACGAATGCAGAAGCATCGCCGTCTATGACAAGTCAAGTCAGCTTGTGCTATCTGGAAGAGGGTACCAAATATCTTCCCTGAGCTAATTCTCCTTTACTGTCGACTTCGATACGTTCAAGGACATCCTGCGAGGAATGTGAGAAGGCAGCTTTAAGTATGTTCTCAGTGGGCTCGGGCCTGCACTTCGCAAGCGTATCACAATAAATTATCTGTCCCAGGTCTAGCTATCGTCTCCAACGAGCTTGCGAATGAGACAATGATCTCTGAATCTAGGAAACCTTCGCTCGGTCCTCCAACTCTTTGTTCCGAGTTTGCTGAGAATATGGATATTGTACGTTCGAGCACTTCCCTTTGCAAATTTCTTCAAAGGAAACTGAAATTTTTATGACCATATTTTTCTGAATTCATGCCTGGCTGTGTTAGGTACTCTTACGCAGATTTATGCTGGGACAACTCGAGCTGGTGTTCAACCGAACGGACAAGTCTGCAATTTATACGAGTGCTGTACGCACATATATAGGTGTATTTAATCGTGAAACTCGTCTCCTGATCCCTTGGGCACGGATCTGCGAGGAACCTGCTTGAGCCAAAGATGCGAAGCTAGCAGAAGCTGAAGGGTTATTGAAGTGATTGGAGGGGCAAGTAGTTGATGTCTGTGGTATTTATCTTTCCCTTTTACCCTCTCTTATTTTATAAATTTCCTCGAGAGACTTCTTTCTGCTGGCGCAGTCATCAAAAGCTGGAGGCTTTCCGGGCAATTCCTGCCGTACAAGTGTCCTCAATCATGAGCACGCTCGCGTTGTCATACCTCCTTCGATACTCATAAGACACTATCAGAGAGGGTTAGAGTTCATTGCGTTCAGTCTGAGGACGACAAAAGACAGCGCACCCGAACTTCGGCGTTCACGTCATACGAAAACAATCATCGAGCCACAATTTCCTAATTTGGTGACAGTCTTGCCATTTTGACTGCATCGTGAAGACGATTCAGCATTCGGCCGCCTCTGATAATTGGAGTCCTGGGCGGGAGTTGAAGGGCTCTCAATGTATAAGAAGGGATTGAGATTCTGTTGATTGGCTCCAACAAACCCTCGACTTTGAGACTCACACACTCTATTATTTTCAGCCAGACATTCACCCCAAAGACGAAATTCGCAAAGAAAGGCGGTTATTGTCACAGGAGCGAACACTGTTCTGTTTATGCATTTCTCCTTTTTTCTCTAGGGGACCCGCTCTAAATCTTGGAAAGGAAATAGTGAAGCTGTGTTGTCAGGCTTACCTACTTATCACAATCAAGCCGACTGATTTGTGTCCAGAAAACACTCATGGTGCGAGTTGAGGCATTCGGCCTATGATATCCTCTCTGATTGTGTGCCTTCTCACCAGTGCGCTGTTTCTCGAAATTTCATACTTCGTAACCCAACCGTCATGGGAGTACTCAATCAAATCTCCCTAGAAGGCACTGAAATAAAGGAGCGGTTGAAAATCTGTCTTATATTGATAGTAGAGCAATGGTGAATACGTACGTTCGAATATTTGGTGAGTAGTTCCTGATGTCTTGGACTGCCGGGCAAGAATCGGCCACAACCGGGTGCTGGCAACAAGGGTACTCAGCTTTCTGAACACCCGTGGAACTGGCCTGAGGAACAAATTATGAACGTACATGAAAGTTAACCCATGTTGTGCCTCTTCCTTCCCATGCTCCGTCTAAAATTCGTCCTTCCCTTTCCGCACAATCAATATTATAGTTGGCCGCTCCCCTTGACTGGAGAACTTGGCGACATTTTGCTCGATTATGTAAGTTCACCGAAGGGAAACACGTGTAAAAATCGTGTAAGGGTAGAGGAGGCCGAACGGGCCGGGAAAGGCCATGTTCACCCTGACTAGTGACTACTTATCATCGTTCCACTTCCAGTGTCCACCTTGTCCACCCCTGTCGGTTTCTTAACAAGACGGTCACAACTTCCTCTTTTCTCTTGGAACTTATGAAGAAAGTCCACGCGTCCGAGAAAATCTATTCCTGAAGGACCAACATCATGGACGACATCGAGCTCCAGGCAGTGTTGCCCGCTGCCCATGCTATGTACCTTCCGCCCATCATCGAGTCACCAAGCCTGGTGACTCGACTGTGGGCACGGTGACCAAATGTGTGCCGCAACTCATCACTCTCGGTCCCGCCCGACGTCGCTAAATTTTGGGCAGTGACAGAGTAGCTAGCTTATAAAAAGCTCGAGCCCCCGCCTCCCATTCCCCAAGGTTCTACCTCCCAGCAGGCCTCGGCTCGTTGGTGCACGTTACATTTCACCCCAAAATGTCGTCCCAATCTTCTCGCCGACTTCTCGCCCGTCTCCAGCAGGACCTAGGAGAGCTGCAGGATAACCCGTATCCTGGGGTTGCCGTCTTCACTGATGATGCGAACCTACGAAAGCTCTGCCTGGTACTGACGCCGCCCAGTGGACCGTGGAAGGATTTGTCGTTGCACTTTTCCGTGGGTTTGCCAGAAGATTGGGTGGGTTCTTTGGTTTATCGTTCAGAGCGCAATGGGCCCTGACCGTTTCCTTCTCTAGCCAACATCACCACCCAACGTTCAGTCAAGTGTCCACGGCATTCAGCATCCCAATCTTTTCGGTAGTTACATCTGTTGCGACCTCATCAAGCCACATTATGCTTCGTATGGCGGATATACTGGAGGGTATGTCTTCATCCAAGCACTGTTGGATACCCCTTCCCGTGCTGATATTTTTGATAGTTACACCCCTGCCCTGACTTTGAGGGGTCTCTTCCTCCAGTTCCTAACGTTCTTCTCGAGTACCAAGGTTAATTCGTGTGGTTCCTGCTATCAGTGCTGCCTGACTCATTTCTATCAGGTTGAGCAAGAATACGGTGGCTATATTCACATCGGAGAGCATCTTACAACCATTTATCGTTGTGATTCTCCTTTTCCCGACCAGAGATTCCCGAAAGAAAGTGGCTGCGACCATCTTTTCTTCTGCCAATGCGTCAAGGGTCACACCGGCATGGCGAACATTTGGGAAAGCAGTTCAGCCCCAGAAGTTGACGTCCCTGTGTCGCATGGTCAATTATTTCACAAAATCAAGCACCTGGGCGAACATCAAGCAATGCACCAGGTTGGACACCTCAATCCTCGATGGACCTCCACATTCGAGTTGATCTCGAAGTGGTCCTGCAACTGCTGCCCATATGGTTCTCCCTCTCTTCCTTACCATCGACGACCCAGCACAGTAATTGCTCGGCACAGCGCTCCAATTCCCTCGACCCTGTCCCTGTCTCCCGCCGAATGCAGGCTCTCCATCTTGAACGACGACATATTGGCTGAGCTGGCGTCCTACCTTGCGTCGGAGACTGGTGGCGTTGTCCCTCGCCTATCCGCGCTTCCGCCAAATTGTCGCCTCGCTCCACCTCCTGCTTCGAAGCGAGCTAAAGTGCTTCTTTCTCCGCGTTCCTCTCAGTACATCCATTCTTGGAATCGGAATTGCTGTAGACCTCAAGACACGCTCCCTCTCGTCCGATTTCGACTGGCTCAGCTTGGAGGCCTTCGAGACGTTCAAGATCCGCAAAAGCATACAGAAACGGCCTTTCGATCATTTCCTCCCGCTCGCCTTCAATCGCCTCCACTTCTTGAACTCCAAGGCAGAGATTTGGAAATGCCTAGGTGCCATTGACAAGGCATTCTGCGACGCCGAATTCGCGCTCTATCGGCGGACCAAGCGCAAGCCGACTCGTCGAGCAGGCCCTCCTGCCAAACCCTATCACACAGTGGATGTCCTATATCGGATGATGAACAACATCGTCGTCTCGCTCATGCAATCCTGCGACGGGACGGTGGGATCGAAGGGAAGGCGATCGCAGGAACCGAGCCTGCTCTATGCGTCTGAGAAGGCCGTCGTCTCATACTGTCTCCTTCTCCACCTCCTCATGTGCTTGTCCCGCTCGACTCCTGCAATCCTCACCGATGCTACGAACAAGCTGCGTGCTTTCGTTGACAACCCAGGTGAACGCTACAAGGCCAAGACTCCGGACATGGGCGAGTTCATCATAGCGGTCATCCTTGTCCTCGTCATGCCGCAGGTTGGCACGAAGTGTCCGATAACCTGGGACGCCATTCGAGGCAAGTTCCTCGAGGAGGCCATCACCCGCAACGTCCGTTGGGTGCTCCAGGCGTCGCCCGAGCTGGAGCTGCTTGAGCAAGGTGCCTCCGACTACCGTCTGCAAACCACGTTCGCGAACTCAAAGACGAGTCTCCGGCTCATCATGTTCCAAGTGACCTTCCTCAACATCTTTCTCGAGACGTACGCTTCGGATATCACATTCCTCGATGACAACTACGGGTTCGCGGACAAGGACCTTCCGGAGCGTATGGTCAAAGAGATCAAGGAGATTTACAAGGTGGATACGTGGCCGCAGTTCTTTGCGAAGGTTCGGTTTGGGAAGCAATTGGGTAAAGACGCATTCTCGGAGATGCTGAGGAAGGCAGTGCTGGAGAGTGGGAGGCGAAGGTATCACACTCCTTTAAAATGTGATGCTCCTCATGCGCTAACGTTGAGGCGCAAGAGGGTGGAGAACGACGCAGGCTGGGAGGCGTCAAAGTATCCTTGATTTTTGGAAAAGTAGAGTAGGATAATAGTGTATAAAATGAACCCCACTAGTTGAAACGGCGTTGTATGGCTCCCAGCTTGTACAGCAAAGCAGGCGATGACTCTAATCATGATATACTCTCCTGAATAACGCTTTGTGTGCGAAGACACAGGAGGGGCGAGAAAACGGATGATGTGGTATTGTCAGTGATATTCGTCGAGAAGCGTACTATTATATGTTGGCCGTGAAAAATGTAGAAATGCTATGAGCTAAACAAGCGGCAGCACCATGGACACGTTTCAAGCATCCTTCCCAGTCTCATCCCGAATGCCACCTTCTGCGAAGTTCAAGATACCTGCGACGTCCAAATTGCTCACGATCCCCTCTGCCTCTGCGACATCCATCTCACCCAGCACCTTGTTCACGCCGTCCAGCTCGCCCGCTTTGAGCGCCTCCTGCAAGGCCGCCGGGAAGCCCTGGAACACATCCCATCTGAACTGCAGCGCCTTGCGCACTTCCTCGACATCCAGGCCTTCCGTTCCTGGACCTTCGAGCTGAAGCTCGTCGGGCGGTGGCCCGTCCGGAACGTTGAACGAGATGGTCACGTTGGGGTTTTCTGGCACGAGCTGGATCTGTTCGCGGTCCCCTTGTCTTTGCTCCTCTTGGTTGATCTTTACCCGCGTCACGACATGCTGGTAGGTCTTCTCGACGTCATCTATGAACACTTTGAGAGCCCGCTTGTCGCCCGACACCATCCTGCGAAAAAAGGACGCCACAGGTCGATCTGTCAGTCGGCGGATCGAACTTTATGAAAGAGAAATAACATACTTCTTGAAAAATACGCCGACGCCGTCAGGACCCAGCTTCTCACAGTACTGGAGGAGAAGACTTTGGTGGATGCATTGCTTAGCGTATTTGGGTTTGCCTTCTCCCTGTGCAGCGAACGCTGCGACAAGGAGCGCATCGGAGGCGCTGGGGACATACACATCGCGATGTTGTTGGATGAAGTGGAAAGACTTTTCATAATCACCCAAAGGTAGCTTCGAGAAAGCTTCCAGGCTCGGTGTCAACTCTGGAAGCCCTTCCGCCGCCTCATCGTCGTCGGGCTTGGATATGGGGGCGCTGGTGGTCGATTCTGCAGCTTTGGGGTTCAGCACTTCAATTGTTGTTGCCTTCTCCTTGCCCTTCTCTTTCTTTGGTTCACTCTTGGCAAGAGGGATGGGTGGAGGAGCGGGTTTTGGAGGAACATACTGAATGATAGTCCGGAGGTAGTCAGTCTCAAGCAATCTCAGCACAATTAAATGCTTACCTTGTTCTCGAAACCTTCATGGAGGTCATCCATCGTAATGTGCTTCTTTTGCTCATGAATTTCTTCTTCCATCTCCTTCCGATCCCTCTCGATGGTCTCACCAAGCTGCTTGACGTGAGTCTCCATCTCGACGATCAACTCCTTTGTTAGTCTCTTCTCCTTATCTGCCTCGAGCAACCCGTTTTCCTTCACCCTCTCCTTCGCCTTTTCACCGACCATCTTCAGCAAGCTCAACAGCATGCCATCGTAGGTCTGCTCGATCTTGGTCGAGTCATTCCCAGGAGGGCAGTCCCGCGAAGGATTGGTTTGGAGTTGGTCAACAAGCGAGCTGAAGTACGTAGGTGCAGGCGTTGATGAAGGTGGATTCTTGAGATTGTCCCTTATTTCTTTGATTCGCGGTAGAAGGACGTCGTTGCAGTCGATCTGGGCGCGTAGGCTCTGTATTTTGTGTTTGCGCGCCTCACGCTTCTCGTGGATGTCGCGTTGTTTCCACCTTACCAGAGCCGTGTCAAGATCAGCAAGTACAGTCGATGAACGAGAAACACGACGCACCGAATGAGGGACTTCTTATCAACATTTGGGTGCCCCTCGATGTCAGAATCGTCCGACAACTGTGATCATGAAATCAAGCGCTGAGAGATACTTCCTACAGAGACGATTCGGATGTACCTCGAGTTGGTCCCACTTGGAGTAGTTCAACGGCATTTCTGGACGTTCTTGCCAGAACTGAATGAGAAGGGAGCCAGATGCTGTACGTTGCACACGTAGACGTAGACAACTGATCGAAACTTCTGGAAAGGTTACAACAGTCACTTTGGACTTGAAATGAAACTCATAGCCCCCCCTGATCTAGACTACATACCAGCCGCCTGTCTAGCAAACGCAGAGATTCAGATCAAGAGACAGCAGAGATTCAGTTGGTAGTAACGGATTAGATAACCTGGTGCCTCGGAGTCTCCGTTCCCAAGTAACCTCGAGGTGAGGTGGTTTCCTCGTTGCTGTCCTTCAACCATTACCTATCTGTCGAACTGTGGGCAATCGTGTAAATTTATATCGTGAACTCATTAACTGATGACTTTCTGACGCATTTTACTCCCTCAGAGGCGGCTACCAGAGAACATGAGTCCTGTGATAACGATGAGCCGGATTGTAGTGAGGACGACAGTGCCTTTCTTCCTCATCTCCGTTCCCTGGTGAGGATACATCCTGGGATTCCACCATTTCACTCTGTTCTTCGGACATGCAAGAACCGGATAAGCTTTGACAGCAAAGGCCCTTGGAGGATATTTTTATTGAAGTCAATCTCACGGATGAATTTCTTTCTGAGGAGCTCATACAACGTGTACTCGAGGTCAAACGCAACGGATCCGGCTTGTGATCACTCAACTGGGCAGCGGAGTTGATTGTGTGGACCTAATAAAGTTATCGTATGAGTATCGCCAACATCGGCGCTCAGGACTTGTGTAAAGTAGGCGGCATTGGATTATAGCGCAAGTCTAGTCTACGGCAATTGCAGTTCCAATTCGTTGCAAAAGTCATAGCAATGGGATATTTGCTAGTCACAATTTAGGGAGCCAATGCCATGCCATTGAAATATTCGAATAATGATTCAAGGTTAAGTGAGAAGTCGAGTAATTAGATCCTGATAGATTTAGATTATAGCATTGATCCCAACGTGAATAATTCTGTTAAATATTTCGTCGGTCAATGCTACGTTCCGCTAAAAACTCGATAAACATACTCATCAGCCGAGGTTAGCCAATTGGCGGTCTCCGGGAACATCGTGGCTAGTAAAACAATATTAGCGCATTTCTCAACGCAGCCCACGCCAACGAATCGATGTACCTAAACGCCGATATATTGACTCGATGAGCAGCGCACGAACGTAATTGATAACAGGCGATGTTAGCCCGACGTTGACTTTCTTCGAGACGACGTGGTAGTGTGGCGCACTTCCCAAACAGGAAGCATTGGCTCGGGCCGGTGAAAGCAGATAAACGACGGGTACGCACATATGGGTTGCAGTTTTTGACACCGTCCTGATCTCCTCGAGGATTGACTCTGATATTCTTGGGTTCAGCTGCCTCTCCACGTCGCAGATCTTTTCGATCAGGTCTTGGACCTTGAGAGAGTAACCAAGGAGGTTACCCACCATGTAACAAGAAGGCGATAACTCAAACGAACCTGGACGTCGAACTTATCCCGGAAACCGATATAGTAAGTGACTCCGTAGAAACCTATTCGAAAGTAAGAAAAGTTTGTATGCGCAGAGATGTATTAGCATGTACCATCAACAGTGCGGACTTTCGTCACAACGTATCTGTCTTCAACAGATACGCGTGCCATCGGGACGACACAGACAGAGAGGAAAATCTGAAATGAAGTAATTACAGGTTGCTCAAACTAGGGCTTGAGAAACGTACGACAATGCGCGGAAGAGACGGCCATTGCCTTATGAAACCTTCGTGAATGAAACAGTCAGCATCGACAACAGACAAACGCTTACGAGGTCACTCACCGATGAACGTATGCGGCACACCCTTCCCCGAAGCAATCTTGTGGAAGACAGCGCACGTCGGGATCCGTTGTAGCGCTTGCTTATTCTCCGTGGAATCGGGTTCGAAGCCCTTCTCCGATGGGGGTCGGCTCTTCGTCATGAAGTAGTACGCTGCGTCCTCCTCTGTCGTACCCTCATCGTCATCGGAAACAGGCGAGCTTGGTTTCTGGCTAGTGGTGTGGCCGATAAAGTGTCGGAGGTTCATGCGGTTCTGTCCGTCGAAGGCATCTTCGAGGGACTGGGTACGCGTGAGGATGAGGTTTGGGGCTCAAAGAAATGGAAACTTGCCTTGGCCCACACCCAGAGGAACATAATCAGAAGCAGGAGGCTTCCCATGAGAAGCGGAACCCATGCTCCCAAAGGAACTTTCTTGAGCGCAGCACCCCAGAAGAGGGCTACATAAAAGGAGTTCAAGCACATATTTCTCAAAATAAACCAAGAAGCATTTACCATCAAAGAACCCAAACGTCAAGAAATATGCAATCCCAACAATGATTGGCAGATGCTTAACCCAACGCATCTGAATGGTGAGGAGCAAGCTCGTCGAGAACATGACCGTCGACACCGCGAATCCATACGCATTCGTCAAATTCGTCAGGTTTGTAAAGACGACGACCATGACGATGGTGGCAATCATGAGTATCCAGTTGATAGCTGGGATGTAGACCTGGCCTTGGATGGTCTCCGAGGTGTAGAGCATCCGGATGGGCGGGAAGGCTTTGGAGTTAATGACTTGCTGGACAAGACTGAAGGTTGCCGTGATCATGGCTTGGGAGGCGATGAGCGTTGCGAGGACAGCAAAGATGAACATGATCCTTGGATAGCCGTATATCAGAAACGAAGGCGAGGAGGAAGTAAATCGTATACCAGAACAAAGGCCCATCGACAGGTCCGGGAATCGAATTGTAGAAGACCTGGGCGAGAACTTGCTCTCCGTCGACGATCAGACGAGCGCCTTGGCCGAGGTAGGCTAAGATGAGGGCAGGGTAGACGAAGATGCAGAAGGACATCCGAATCGACATCGCGTTGAACTGTCCAAGGCTTTAGAAGGAACGAAACTTAACCTGGGTGGCCACAGAGTAAGGACGTCAGGACGTACTTGGCAAACATGGCTTCACACCCAGTTACGGCGAGGAGGATGCCGGCGAGTAGATCGTAGTTCTTCGTGCGGATGAACACTGAAAGAGACTCAGCAGTTGTAGGGCAGAACACCAAGGCAAAGTGAACGCACGCATTATCGCACACGAGGGATCGAATGCACGGAATATCCCAGGGTATAGAGTGATGTTGTAGATGCCCGTGCCCATCAAAAGGAGGAACCAGATGAATGAGACTGGGGCAGAGCAGTTCAGGGTCAGGCAAGGAAAACGGGCGACTATAACATACCCGGCGCGAATGTGAATGCAAGGCGAGCAGTCCCGAATTGTTGGACAAAGAACAAGGCGAGGAGGAACACCACAGATATCGGGACGATATCACCCAGAACCGAAGCTTTCGCGACGCCGATACCTGATACAGCGCTCGTGACGGACACAGCGGGTGTGAAGACACCGTCGGCCATCGTCAGTGCCGTCCCGAAGAGACACTGCAAGCGATGTAAGTGACATGTGGAGGAGAAAGACGAAAAAACAGACCCAGAGTAAGAGAGGCCAGCGTGCCTTATCCTTGAGCGAGCTATGTTTTGGGCGCTCCTTGCCGAGGTAGCTGTCGCCGGTAAGCGTTCGATCCGAGTCGACGTCAACTTCTTCGCGGGGGTAGAGGCCCTGGTACAGCGCGAACGAGCCACCCTCCCCTGATCAATGCAAGCAAGCAGTTAGGGTGGATATATGCGCGAAAATCAACGAAATAACCGACCTTCTTTCGTTCCGAAGTAAAGCGAGATCAAGGTCTGCATCGTATATAATGGTCAGTTTATGGTTGAAGGCGGGAGCAAGGAGGAAACACCGACATATTTGAGCAACGGAAGGAGAGTGAGAGACCAGATGATTGCGCTGACACCGCCGATGATGTCCTCATTGGAAGGCATAGGACCGCTCGATGGCCAGATGCCGTTGAGAACGTAGAGCGGGGAAGTGCCGATATCGGAGTAAATAATACCTGAGACATTTTAAACCGAGATGAATGGGAACGCAACGAGAAAAAAAGGACTTTGAACGTACCAAGCGTCTGGAAACTGAGCGCGACGAGCGGCAAACCTCTTAGGCTGATCGCCGTACGCTTCTGGTTGAGGCCCTTCTCTGCTGCGCTGGAGCCAGACATAGTGCCGACAAGAGGAAAAAAGGAGGGAGGAATACTGAGAGAGGAAGCGCGACCCCGATACGCCCATTAAATAGGGTTCCATATCGTCACCCTCTCGCGCGTCCCGCTATCCACTCGCACCGCAAGCTTCCTACGCCCTGACCGGGTTAAGGTCAAATTGGGTTTGTTCGACTGGAGCAAAATTGAGAATTCAGACACAGCTTATCGAGGAATGGCGAATATCGCGCAGTGGCAGGCTTCCTGAAAAAACAACACAAACAGGAGATCGCAGAGTGCGTGATCACTGAGGGATTATGGCCATGGTCGTGATGCGAGCTATTTTTGCTCGATTGTGCTGTAGGTGCCGGGAGGGACAAGCTAAATGTGTTGTCGCCTAGAGTTTGAGTTTGAGAAGGAGCATCGAGGTTCGAGAGGCGCGCTGTGGAGATGAAAAGAGGTGTGCTTTAGCGCCCATAAACAATGATACTTGGATGATGGGAGTCGGGGGAAAAGAGTGAAGGACCTGAAGGTGATGTGATGTCTGTTTGGTCCCGGGTCAACGGTCCATTCCTCCGAAGCTGGTACTGCACAGCCTGCAAACGTTCCTCGTCTGAAGAATATCTCTGGCAAATCTCTGGCAAAAGCCTAACGCGAACGCCTTGGACCATACGCACATGATCAGCGCGCAATGTTCAATGCTGAATTTCCAACAACGGTCAAAAAATCGTCCAGTTTTCTTGCCGGAGACTTGATTCAATATATTGTGGTGGTGGCTGATAAGATCCCTCTAGACAAGCTGACTCAAGAAACGGGGTAACAGATTGTCGCGCTATTAGTTATAAGAGATATCGACGTACTGCTGTACAGCATTGTACTCTAGCAAAGGCAGGTTTCAATATTAATGCAGCTTGCTCACCGGCTTACACGACGTCACGGAGATTATTAAAAAAACGAGAAGTTCTAGAGAGCACCTCATATGCTGATAAGTAATAAAACTTGCACTCTACGAGGAGTGCGATTCGAGGAAGGATGGAGCTCGCGCCCAAACCTTGAGCCTTTCTGTCATAACAGCATCATGCCTGCTTATGACAATACTGTTAATGAAGCTGTGAACGTTTTTTAAATATGGCGTATCCTGCATACTTCACCTAGATTGATTTTTCCTTGACTCAACCAAGTACTGACCTCCGAGTCGACTTTCAGCTTCTCTTGGGACTCGGGAGGTCACTTATCCTTTTCCCAAAAGCACCTGGCACGGTCGATCGAGACAGCTGGAGATATTTGATCCACGCTCTATTATTAGGGCGTCCCAATGAGAGTGACCGGGTTCTAAAATCTCCCTCTGCGCCAGCAGTCACCGTGACCATGGCGCGTTCTGTTATTATTAATGGGCGCATCGCTGCCACGTGATGAGAAAATGACCTTTCTGGCCCTGACAGTGACAGCTGTGATCTGCGGCTCACCCGACACTCAACCACCAGTTTCCTTTCCCTCCCCTATAGACCGGACTGATTGGCTTCAGTACCGTACCCCAATCCAAAAACCATCATGTCATTTTTCAACTCCATCAGGTGCGTCTTCCCCCCGACCGAGACGGCCACAACTGTTGTTCAATGCTAGCACTTCGCTGACTCTTTGGTTCTTTCCTTCTCTTCAACGACGACATAATGCAGCCGGTCGATGACGCGTGCACAGCGTGCACCAAAGCGGGCGACGACCCCCACCTCCGCAACCTTCTCGCCTCACGACTCGGCGCCGCCAACGCCTGTCTCTGCAGTCGCACCTCCGGTCCCCAAGCCTTTGTACCTGTGTAGTCCGTTCGTTGAGGCGGCACTGGTGAAGGGAAACTTCAAGACGATTGTTATGTTGCCCAAGTATGTTGATATCATGGAGTGGGTCGCCGTGAATAGTGCGTTTCCTTTCATCACGTCAACTGAGCCGGAACTGACGCGTCTGCACGGGACAGTCTTCGACTTTTACACGAATCTGAACGAGTTTTATGGTGTAATATCAGAATGTTGTACACAGCAGTCGTGCGCTACAATGTCTGCTGGCCAGACGTGCGTCTCAGTCCTTTCACTTCCCTGCAACGCCACTGACATTCCTGACCATGTTCAGGTTGAGCTACACCTGGATCAATCAAGATCGTAAAAGCGTACACCTGCCCGCACCGACATACATTGACTACGTGATGACTTGGGTGCAAAATCTGCTGGACGACGAGAACACTTTCCCCACAAAATCAGGTGAGTTGTTATCCCCGCGGACTCTACCCTGCTCCCCTGCCTCGATGCTGACTGCCACCCGAAATGCCCGCGCTCGATCAGGAAGCGACTTTCCCCCATCATTCCCTTCGACAGTCAAGCACGTCTACCGCCAGCTATTACGCGTATTTGCACACATCTACCATGCTCACTTCCACCACCTCCTGCATCTACGGTCTGAGCCGCACTTCAACTCGCTATTCGCGCACTTTCTGTCGTTTGGGAGGGAGTACGAGCTGCTGGAGATGAAGGATGTAAGAGGGTCGGCATCGGCTCCTGTTGGGATTAGCCAATTGTTTGACAAATGGCGGGAGATGGGGATCCTCGAAGGATGATGACGATGATGTATTTCCATGCGAGCGCCTTTGGTATTGCGCTCTCCACATTTCTTCACAATCGCATTGCTTTCGTCTCGCTGCTTTACAATTGGGAAGCGTTCTTACCTGTGACAGCTGTTGTAACAGATTAGATTAAGTAGAAGGCGATGAGTGGTGTACAGTCGGCACCCTCATAACCCATACCCATCGGTGGACAGCCCGGGTTATGGGTTATGGGGGGTTATGGGTTGCGAGGGAGGGGCTAAAAATAGGTCCAGGGAATATGGCAAAAAAGTTAGGAAAATGTCGTAATAAATTGCAATTTTCGAGCATTTGCAAGCATCGTGCAGGCGCTTTGAGTTCATAAATTGACAAATATGCCGGTCAAATGTTTGAAATACAGTCATCCACCATCATTTGATACACTGAAATTTAAATTTGATCCCAGAACTCAACCAGCCCATGGATTCTCATAAAACCACTTGGAATCAGTGTAATAGAGCCATTGAAATAAATTTATACCAGTTGTATGCCATAAAATCAACCAAACGTGAGCAGAAACAGCCAGAGATGCTGTACCAGTGACTGGTGTGACAAAATCAACCAAAATGAATATTTTGGTGATTTTATTACCGGGCATTGACTTCACCAGAACCCACAAAATTTTATACACAATGTATTAAAGACTTATAGAGAATGGGGTTATTTTTTCAAAGCAAACAGTTGAATCCTTCATGGTGTTCCGAGGTGTATCATTAGCCGGTGGTGTCTCATTGGCCGGTGGATGACTGTATTATCTGTACCCAGAGGCTTGTCATTTTTTAGGTTGCGTGCCGTTAGAGAGGGTGGAGGAGACATTTGGCAACAGCATTCAACCAGTCACATGAATATTTGGGTGTATGGGTCAGCTATATACGGTAAGTCTTGGCATCATTTGTAAGCATATTTTGCTCCCAGGGTAGCTTTTGGCCTTTTCTGGCCGATTTTTTAATGATTTCCGTAATTTACAGTAATTCACTGCCTTCTTGTACAGCAAAAATGAAAATGCCCTCTACTGTTTGTCATAGATGAAACTCTTGTTCATTTCTGTATATATGAGCTGCCTATATGTCGAAACTAGGTCGGTGTGCGATTTGAACGCCGTCGGGTGAGAAATGGACACGCTGTCAGTAAATCCGTGCTGGGGTACCCTTTTTGGGCAAAACCGGGCAGTTGTACAGTGTCACGCCGTTGCCGGTGGCTGTGTCACGCAGCTCAGTTATCTTCGGTCCGATGCGATCAATCGATAAACACTTGTTCTATTCTTCGTCTATCGTACCGTCGCCACCCACATCCTCCTCAGGATCCTCCTCAGGATCTTTCCGCGCCTTCTTGGTTGGGGGTTTTACCCGGGCCTCCTTGTAATTCGAACGCAAAGGCTTTGGATGGGCTTTGTCCCAAACCTTCAGCTTGCGGCCCGCCTCCTTCGCTGCTACTCGTGCTGCTGTCCACTTGTTTGCATCCTCCTGAAACTGGCGATACAGTGCCGCATTCCTAGCCTCCCGACCATCCTCATGTGCCTGCCACACTGCCATCCGCTCCTCGTATTCAAGCTGCTGGGCAGCCCTCTCCTCCTTGTCGCGCGCCTCCTTCGCCTTCGCATCCTCGTGCTCCTTGACGGCTCGAATCACGGCGGAATGTGTCATCAAACGAGGTAAGCCGTCTTGTAGAATACCTCCTCGCCCCTTCTTCTTCCTCTCTGCCTTTCCTTCCTTCGCTTGAAGCTGACGACGCAGTTTGTTGCAGTATAATCGCTGCAACACGAGCATGGATTGCATACGGATCGCCTGCTCCTTGTAGTAATCTGCTGCCGCTGCTTTCGCAATGAGAGCCTCCTGCATGGCGTCCTCGTCGGGTGTGGATGTCGTCTTTGTTGTGAGGTATGTGACATCTTGCCTTGACATTGACGGTTTGGTAATGCGACGTTTCATAGGCGAGATGAGAACATTCGGCAGATCGGGTGGATTAGAAGACGATGGGATAGGCGTTTGTGAGAAGAGAAAGCCGCAATCAGAGTTGGCAAGTTCTTTGAGGGCGGCTCGGATGGGAAAGGTGTCAAGCCGTGGGTGGGCAGGTTCATCATTTACAGGTTCTTGTTCCTCCCCTTCTCCCTCCTCACCCGTTTCATGACCAGCCTCACCACCCCCCTCCTCAACATCATCTACCTCCTCATCAGCACCATCCTCCACCTCCTTGTCCTGCTCTCCATCCGCCACCGCTTCTTCCTCCTCTTCACCCATTCCTCCCTCATCGACCTC